TAACCCCTTGTGCCTTTCCTCACTCACCCTGGACACATGGGAGTGGGCAGTGAACCATGAGGCACTGACTGGCTCCCAAGTAGACTATCCATGCCATCCCCTGGGGCTTTGCAAGGTGGGTCTCTCAGGGCCAGGCATGTTGGCTATGTGCAGACTAGTTGTGCCCTCCCACACATTCTGGCTGAAGTGTGTGCCCTGATTGGGTTAGCTGCAGCCTGGCCCCTACCCCACCTCACCAATAGGTGCATTCTAGCTGCAGCGGGCGCTGGAGGACCTGGATGAGGATGACCCCTGCTATGATTTCCGCCGGCAGCACCTCACACAGCACCGCATTCACCTCTTCTTCCTGCAGTATGAGTTCATGGCCTTGTCTGACCCAGCTGATGTCACCCTGGTTGCCCAACTCTCCATGGACAGGTGTGTGGCAGGACCTGAGAGGAGGGAGTGGGGAGAGTCTCATCATCCTGCCCCCTCTGGATTGCCTTCTGCTGCCAGGGAGATCCTCAGGGCTCTGTGAGCAGGGTTAACTAGCCCTGTACCCAACCAGAGGCAGTGCCACAGTAGTCAAACCAGCTTTGTGCCAGGAAAAACACTGTCTCCATCTGGGGGGCCTTGAGGGACTGGGGTTTACATGGAAAAAATACGTTAAATGGAATGTGTGTGATTCTGTGACTGTCACATCGCCCCAACCACAAAATCACACCTAGAACCTGAGCTCTCACTGAGAACAATGCTTCTAGCCCTTCGCTGAAAGGAAAGCCTTGTAGATGCAAACCTGGCAGATCTAATTCTGCAATTTCTGCCTCATTTCGTCCTTATGGGATGAGTTGTTTTCATATCTGATTCAGTTAAACTGTCCACTGTTTATTGTGTTGGGAGCTGCCACACCAACCCCATCACTGCCACTGCCAGTAGGAGGATCTAGGGGAGTTGCTATGGCTTTCAGGTTTGGTTGGTCATGGTGTACACAGGGCCTGGCCATCAGACTACAAGGCAGTTTGCCCTAGGGGCAGGGGAATGGTGGACAATAGATGGGTTGTGGCAGATCTGATCTGGAGGCTTGCTCAACTCCTAGCTGTGCCCAGCCTGGCTGCAGCCACTGCTGTCCACCTCTCCTTGTTCCTGCATGCTTGGTGGCCTAGTGATTCTCCCCCATGTGGCCAGCTCTGGTGGGGCTCACCTCATGCCATGCCCTTTGGCTTGTAGGTTACAGATGCTGGAGGCCATCTGCAAACACTGGGCAGGACCCATCAGCCTGGCGCTGTACATGTCAGACGCGGAGGCCCAGCAGTTCCTGCGCTACGCCCAGGCCTCGGAGGTGCTGAGTAGCCGCAGGAACATTGCCTACCACATTGTGTACAAGGAAGGGCAGTTCTACCCCATCAACCTCCTGCGGAATGTGGCGCTGACCAATGCGCGAACACCCTATGTTTTCCTGACTGACATCGACTTCCTGCCTATGTACAGCCTCTACGATTACCTCAGGTGCAGCTGGAACTACCTGGCTAGGACCCTCTAGGACTCTGTGTGCTGGAAGCTGTAAGAGAAGAGGGGCAGGGGACAGATCAGCCTAAGCACTCTTGGTCCTGTAGCGTCTGCTCCGTGACACTGAGAAAGAGGATATTGAGCTAGAGAGACATGTGGTCTGACCTATAATGGCATCTCTTGCTCTTCCAGCTCCCCCATCCTCACTTTCCTCCAAGCTCTGTCCAAGCTGTCTGCGTATCAAACAGTGGGGCTCCCAGCTTTTCCCGCAGGATGTGGTTCCCCAGCCTGGGGCTTTCACTACCAGGAAGCTTCTTTTCCATCTTCCACTGGGTCCCCTGGGTGGGGGAAAGGGCTGCCACAGATGGGAGGAGCGTGCCATGTCCCTTCTGGCCCTGCACAGCAGATACTGAAGGTCTCCCACTACCAGTCTCTTGCCAAGGAAGGACAGGATTCTCTCAAGCCTGTTGACGCCCTTCCAGAACCAGCCAAGGGGGCCAGTCAACCAAGAAACATGGCTGCACCTGGGGCTCCCAGCCCCTATTGCGTGGCCAGTACAGGGGTACATATTTACCTACTACTCGTTCCATGGCATGCTGGCGAAGCCTAATGCTCCCTTTCTCCCTGCTCTAGGAGCTCCATTCAGCAGCTGGCACTGCCTCAGAGGAAGTTGGCACTCATTGTGCCAGCATTTGAGACTCTGCACTATCGCCTGACCTTCCCCAAATCCAAAGCGGAGCTGCTTTCCATGCTGGACATGGGCTCCCTCTACACTTTCAGGTAGGTGCTAAAGCTGCTCTCCTCCATGCAGCAGGGCCCAGACTCTGGCAGAAGCAAATTCTGAGGGGCCATGGTGTCTCCTTTCTCCACTCCCATTCTCTGTCCCTGCTTCCTGGAGGATAGTGAGAAAAACAGCCTTGTGCCTGTGGGCTCTGGGTGCCCCTGGCCTCTCTGGAAGCTGAGAGCCTCTGGGCCTGGTGCCTCATCCATTTCTCTTTGAAGGTACCACGTGTGGCCCAAGGGCCATGCCCCAACTGACTATGCCAAGTGGCGGACAGCCACAGTGCCGTACCGCGTGGAGTGGCAGCCGGACTTTGAGCCTTATGTTGTAGTGAGGCGCGACTGTCCGCAGTATGACCAGAGGTTCGTGGGCTTCGGCTGGAACAAGGTGTCCCACATCATGGAGCTTGATGCCCAGGTGAGTGAGGAGCCACCAGCCTAGGCAAGGGTGTGGGGGGCTCAGCCCCTGCCCTGCACTGCAGGAAGGGCCCTTGGGCAGGTGGGTTTGGGTTGTTCTCAGCACAAGATGCCTTTCTGCCTAAGCACTGCTGCCCGTGAGCAGATGTTTGGGGACTGGTGCTCTGGGGTGGGCTGTGCTGTCTGCTCCCTGATGCCCTGTGCTCTCCCTAGGAGTATGAGCTGCTGGTCCTGCCCAATGCCTTCATGATCCACATGCCTCATGCTCCCAGCTTCGACATCTCCAAGTTCCGCCTCAGTGCTGGGTACCGGGGCTGCCTGCAGACACTGCGGGAGGAGTTCCACCAGGACTTGTCGCGCAGGTACGGTGCAGCCGCACTGAAATACCTCACGGCTGAGAGGAGCCTGTGACTCGGAGGGCCAGCGAATGCAGGGCATCGGTTGCACACGAGAGAGGGAAGGGGATCTCTCCTGACCTGGCTCAGTTTAGGAGCTCTCCCTGCAGGCATCAAACCTGCAGCACAATCTCCCTCCAGCTAGAGAGGGAGAGGGCCATTGAGCTGCAGCCCAGGGTTTGGCATTATTGAGAGGGTCTGCTGGTTACCACTGCTTCCCATGGCCAAGGGTGAGTGTCTCAGGGCTGGGCATTGGCTCAGAGGAGCAAGAATAGGAATCCAAAATCAGGATAATGTCACTGAGCAGAAAGGGGAGGCTCTGGGTGGTTTCTCTAGTCAGGGAGAGGCTGGCATGGTCCCTGTAGTGCAGTGTCCAAGGCTTTGGCCAGAAGGGGGTTTCCAGTGTCTCTGTAGAAGACAGTGAGGTGGGAAGTCTCCTTCTTGCACATTCCCTGACATTCAGCCAAAAAGTTCCTTTGCTTTCAACTATGCCCCCACCTCACTATACCCCTGGGGCCCTGCCTGCTCCAGCCCTTGTGCAGGAAGCCCTGCCAGAGCTAGCATCACTGCAGGTCATTTCCTTCATTTCTCCATCTCCTGCATGCACAGCTCCACAACTCCAAGCCCCTTCCAGAGTGGAGGTGTGTGGAGAGGGGGCTGACACCTCACCCCATTCCCTGCCTCCACCTGGAAGATGGCCTAAATGTACAGGAACAGATGACACTGTCTGTCTGCCTGAGTTGTGGAGACGCATCTTGGAGCAGGCTGTCTGGCAAGTAGGGTTGGGGACTGCAACCTCTTGCCTTATACCACAGCTGGAAGCACATAGCTCCCACCTAGGCTGGTCACTAGCTGTGACTGTGGGCTTCTGCCTTAAGGATGTGCCCTGCTTAGAATCATAAAAACACAGAGCTAGAAGGGAGGTTGTCTAGCTCAAACCCCTGCTTAAGACAGGATCATCCCTCCACTTACCATGAAGAGGCAGACACAGCCATGCTTACATGGTGGCTGAACAGGGCTGGGTCTAGCAGCTTCATTCCCCCTTCCACCCCAGTGAGCTCCTACAACCGAGGCTGTATCTCCAGGTGCAGCTTCAGCTGGGACTTGCCAGGGGACCCCGGCTTAATATTAGCACTGTTACCTTGCCTACAGCAGTACAGCACTGGCTCTTGTCCCATCTTGCTGTGGCCCAGATGCGTGTCACTGTCTGGGAGGTGAGGCATTGTGCACATGTTCAGGGCTATGTCTGCCTCTCTACAAAAGAGCTCAGTGTGCAAAATACACACGTCTGCTACCCAGAGGCCTCAGGTCTGGCCCTTTATTTTATATAAAGTCTAATCTCTGTTCAAGTTCCCAAAGGAGATGCTGCCGCTGGACAGCCTGCACCCCTCCAAGACACGGCCATCCTCCTTGTACCGGCAAACTGCTGCATTTCCCTCAGGTTTTCCTGGCTGGGGAGGGGCTAGTGAGACCTAATGCTGCAGGTTTGAGTCAGTTACTGAGGCCCACAGACTGTTCCTGTTTTTGCTGTGGTGCTAACTGCGAGTTCCTGGTCACTGCTGTGATTGAGCCAGGCAGGGCTGAAGCATGGGGGCAAGTGATCCTGTCTGGAGGAACCTCCTGTGGCCATTCCACAGCTCAGGAGGCAGGAGCCTGAATCTCACTAACACCAACATTGTCATTGACAATCAAGGAGGTGGTTGACACTGGACCACAGTAGCTAGGCACTATGGCTGGACCCTGCGCGGGGAGCAGTTTCAGCCAGGCACCGTTCCACAGCCATCACACACTGGCGCACATGAGACACCCTTGCTTTCCTCATTATTTAAATTATTTAAGGTGATTCTTCCTGTGGTGTAAAGGATCAGGGGGTCCGCGGGTTTGTCTTTTCCTTGTTGATTTTGCTGATGGTCCTGGAGTATCTTCAGGCCTGTTGCTGCTGGAACGCTGCTGTTCACTTCCTAGCATTAATCTGATACCCATAAGCCTGTGCTGTGTGCAAAACCCTCCATCCACAGCAGGGCAGATACTGAGAGGGGAAGCCTACCCATCACTCTGCTTTGTTTGGAAGAACATGAGCGTTTCTTGCAGGGTTTTTAATTAAAGCTTTTTTATCCTTTTTCAAAGCTTTGGGGAAGCTGTGTGGTCATTTGGTCTTGTTCTGTGTCATGGTTGGCAGGCAGGGCAGGAGGGGGTGGGCAGGCTGCAACACTCCGATGGGGCACTGTTTTATCAGAAGAGGGCATGGGGTGAGAAGCAGGTGCTGTGTCACAAGGAGATGGGAGGAGTGTGGCTCTTCCAGTGATGGGCAAGGGAAGGGATACCTTCTGAGGGAAGATGTAAAGCACTTGGACTTTAGTTTAACAAAACAAAAACTGTGGGGAAACATGATGGCACTTTACAAACCCATTCATTGGGTGAATATGAGGGCAAAAGAGAAACTTTTTAAGCGAAAAAAAATCCAGCACAGAAGCTTATGACAACAAACTGGATATAAACATTTGAATTGGAAACGGAGAAAAACATTTCCAGTGGGGTGAAGTTTGGGAATGGTCTGAACTAAGAACTTTGATCTGCTGTAAGAGTGAACTCAATAGATGTGTTTATGAAAGGTTGGTTTGCTGGGACAGGGAGTTCTTGGCTCAGCAATCAGTGGGTGAGATGCACGGAATCAGGTAAAAGCAATCCCCAGCACGGGGTTCAGAGCTAACTTTCTTGCAGTGTGGTTGGTGTATCCCTGGAAATCCCATGCTTTGGGGGTCTGCAGATTGTCCCGCTATGAATGGTACTGGTTTTTGCGGGGGGTGGGGGGGTTGCCTCTCTCTGATGCACTAAGCTCAGGCCACAGCTAAATTCAAGGGGTTTTGGCTGGAACATGCTAGTGCACTTGCCTGTACTTAGAAAACTCAGAAGTTCCTGGCTGGAGGGTCTTTCTCTTCTGCTCAGGGTCAGACTACCAGCCAAATCTGGAATCAGGAAGGAGTTCCCCCCACTTTAGGTCTGATTGGCAAGGAGGGGCTTTCCCTGCACCCCCATCCTCTGGGCAGATATTACTCTGCTACAATGCTGTCCTTTCAGTGGCAGGGCCATGGCAACACCCTTGTCTCCTGCTTTTATTGCTAGCTTGTTGGAGGGTGCTCCTGGTTTTGACCTGTGTGATGGCTTGACATAGTAAATGGTTGTCTCTGAATGCAGAGGAGAAGACACAGTGGCCCAGGGTCTAGTCCTATGTTCCTAGTACTTCACTGGGGAGGAGCTCCCATCACCACCCACACACCTGTTTCGAAACCCTCTCCCTTCATGGCTGAACTGCTGAGCAGAGTGGGGAATAGGAAGAAGCAGGTGTGGTAACAGGAAGATGACATGCCAACCCCATAAACAAGACTGTGAACTTCTCCCTCTAAGGAAACATGGAGCCTCAACCCTCATTGCCTTTGCTAGTCTCCAGCTGAAGGTACAGCTCTGCCCACATGGCATTCCTGGCTTGCACTGGAAGCCTCTGCTGGCAAATGTGCTGCATACAAGCAATAGAGATTGCAACACTAACAGAAAAAAAAATGGCTAATTCCCCTGGGCCCCAAGAGTCGAGCTGAGCTTTTTGCATCTCAGGTCATTACTACATGTCAAATTCTAGAGCGTCACATCTGGGGTTCTCTTTATATCTGGGCAAACACATGGACAGCAAGAGTCAGCACCTCCCAGCCACGTCAGTCAGCGATGTACAATTTGGAATGGAATCCAGCCCCCTGCACTGTGCTACACTGGCTTGATGAAGCTAACAGGCATTCAAAACTGTTTAGGCCCAATGGGCAATAGTTCTTGCACCAAGAAGGAGCAAGGTGAGGTAGGAAGGGTCTATTGGGGAGGTGGGCAAGAGCAGAAGTGCAGTTTGAGAATGTTTCCAGGCTTACAAAATCTGCTTTACAATCATCGCAGAGATTTCTTTCCTCCTAGCTTCTTCCCCAAAAAGCAGTGCTAAGACAAGCCAGCTACCCTGAGCCATGTGTGTATTAAACTAGATCCTACCTATCCTGGAGCACCACCACCTAAAGTCAAGCTAAAGCCAAGGCCCTACTTGTGCACTAGGAAAAAACAGTGAGTTCAAGTGCAGCTAGCTACACTGATGAATTAGCCATGCCTAACCTAAATGCAAAAGCTTTGCTTTAGGCTAGGTTCCTACTAAGGATTTTGCTAGGATCATAGGGTTGGCTACCAGTGTGACTTTGTTTCTGTACCAGTGAAAGCAGGGCAGCTTATCCTGATGTTTCAGAGGTCTGCATCTGAGCCTTGCCCTGGACAGCTAGACACGATACTGGCTGCACCATGGCCTTGTGTGCCAGTGGCTATAGAAACTGGTGTGCCTTAACTGTGCTACAACAGTATCTTTCTTGTTGTGGGAACTGGTACAAGGTCTATTTTGTCTCACAAGCAAGGTGGCTTGCACTCTGAAAAGACTGAAAGCCTCCACGATGGAATAAAATCAGGTCCAGTCCAGCTCTCATGGGCACCTTCTGCTGGATAGCATCGTAGTGACAGAACCAGTGTTTGAGCAGTGAGTTGAACACCTGAGCAGCATCAGTCACGAGAGCCACTGTCGCTGCTCCCACTGCCTTTCCGAACCAAATCCCAGTTGTGGTCTAGAACAGGGAGTTGCTGCAAGCTGAAATGAGATGTCGCCGTTTGTAAAGCAGAGCTGTCTGACAGAGCTGCACTGTCAGCTTTGGCCTGGGGCTGACAGATTTCTCCTCCTCGTAGCAGGGAAGCTCCTGAGCTCCCCGCTCCTCTGTGCTGATTCCTGTGCATCGCATACTCGAGAACTGTCCTTTAAATGCCTTGTGCGCATAATGGTCCTTTCTGGTCCTGCTGCCCCATGCAGGTGACGGGAAAAGCTGCCGCCCCCCTGCCAAACACAGCTAAAGAGCCAAGAGATTTCATTGTGTTTTATTTAGTAAAATGTTAAAATAAATAAATACAAATTGATCAGATGCTCTGTATCCCCTCCCTCCCCAACTTTAATTTGCTAAAATCTAAACACAGTTGTACCAAAACTGAAACCACAAGGGACTTGAAGGCTACAGAGAGAAGGCAGCAAAGAGACTGCAGGTCACTATGAGCATCAGGCTAAAAAAAATAGAGATATTTAAAAAATCCAAACCAGCTCACGAGTCAGTATCCGCATCACGCGAGTCTGTGAAAACAAAGTGGTACCATTCAGAAAGGGTATTTTACACCAAGGCCTGCAATGATATGAGATTCTCAGGAAATGGAGGCAGCACAAGAGACACTGGGTTGGTCTGGCACAAATGTCAAAGGGAAAAGAGATGGGGAGACAGTAGATGCTATTGCCATGTTCAGTTCTTTGTTCCTGTGCATGAATGAGTACAGCACAAATGGCCGTGGAAAACTATTAAACTAAAGACAAAACCTGCCACCTTACCTACAGGTGCCCCCAAGTACCAGACCCACTGCCTGTACTGGGGAGACAAGCTGCTGCTGCTACTTCACACTCACATGCATTTCCCTTGAAGGAGCTAGTCACGAGAACACCTCAGTCCTGCCACAGGTTTATGGATTGATGGAGCCACTGCTTTGTTGTTTGTTTGTTTTTTTTAACAGAAGCCGATGATCTATCAAGAATGCCACTTTCTTGTGTCTTATCTAGAATCCAGTTCACAAAGCCTTTCCCTGTTCTCCAGTTACCAGGAACTGGATCCCAGGCAGTTCACAGGTAGAGCCAATGAAGGCAAGGGACCAAAGCCACAGGAGATGGGAATCGGTGTTAAATGCATTTAAAAGGATTTAGAGGAGCCAGAGGATCAGGGCAGGGTACAGTCTTTAGTCACAGCTTGTTAGCTCAACTATGACCCAGGACTCTATTTCCATTCTGCAGTTGTGTGGTAACTCTTGCGTGGGTGTCAGCACAGCGCAGCACAGCACCTGGTGGACTGGTGTCCACATCCGCAAGTCTAGCAAGACAGAATTGGCACTAATCTTACATTTTATTGGCATGTGAAACAGAGATCAAAGACTGCTTTGAGTTTCTCCCTCAACCTTACTAAGGTCCCGTGGTAAAAGACTTTGGTAAAGGGAAGAGCTTAAAGATGACAGCTAGTAAGCCCCTACAAGGCATGGTACTACTTCAAAACTCAATCTGCTGCCTGGCACTGCCTAGCTCTCTCCTACAGTACAGCTCTTGCCAGTTATTCCTTCCTCTTGGCCCCCAGGCTTCGTTTGCACTGACACACAAGACAGGTTTTGCCACAGCAAGGTAAGGACTGTACATTTGTTATCTGACTAAGTAGGCAGTGAGGCAGGTCATGCATGCACACCCATACAGGATCTTGCCTAGTCGACCTCACTGAGCAGTTACACTGCTTTGCCTCCACCAGGACATTACAGTAGGTGGCTAAGACCCAGGAGTTATCTTCAATAAACACGCACACTTTTTTTGGTCAATGAAGCCACTGTGGAGCGGAGGAGGAATCTCCAGCTGGGTGGAACTAGCGTGTTCAGACTGGGAAGCTTGGCTCTTATCTGAGGAGCTGCTTGGTAGTAAAATCTCCCTAAGGGGCCCTCGCTGCCTGTCGCATAAGAAAGTGAGAATGACTCAGAGGCAAAGCGTATTTTGAAAGGGAAGAGCTGATGTGAGACACTACTCGCAGCCTTAGTCAGGTGCTATTTTTATGCCAACAATAATTAAAATGAGGAACCATGTGAAACTATGTTTAGAAATTACAGACTAGCAAGTGGTAACATGCAGCCTTCTGCTCTGTTCAGCTCTGACTGCCAATGTGCTTATTTTCTTAACACGCACAGTACTAGGTGCCCAAGGTATGAAAAAAACACAGCTCACAAGGTTACAACTGTCAGACTTTTTGAAGAGATTTGGGGGAACTGAAGCTGGCAGGAGGGGTGTTGGTGGTAGTAGTCTTTTCCAAAGAATCATTGCTCTTTGCGTCCCTTAGTCTGAAACAACTGGATTGTTGACTTGTAGAGGGTGGGTCCTGGCAGCTTCCATGGCTGTAACTGGCACTAGGTGCTCAGTGCTTCAGGAAACAAACAAACAAACAAACCCCCAGGGCCTTGCTGTAAAGTTGGGTACTCCAAACTTAAGGTAACTCTTGACAACTTTGCTCAGGAGATTTACCCAGGATAACAAAGGGACCAGTATCAGAGCTAGGATCACAACTCAGGAATTCCTCACTCCCAGCCTCATCTAAAATGAAGATCTAAAGTCTCTTCCGGCTCAGAGCAGCAACTTATTCTTCATTTCTTTTCTAGCAAAACTGCTAAAGGGAGCCTTCAGAAAGGCTGGAAAAAGGGTCTAGAAGTGGCTGAGTTTATACTGACTGCACTGTAAAAAATAATAATTAAAAAACAAACAAACAAAGCAAATCTCTAAATGATAACCATGCTACCAACTAGCAACAGGCTAACAGTGCTTAGCATTTGGGCAGCCTTTCCTGCCTCTTGTCCACTTGGCAATGGAAGTCAGACCCTTACTACTTTTAACAAAGTGGACCCAGGCAAGTGTCTTTTTCACTTCTGAAACATCTGACACAATTGGACACTGCAGAACTAGCCAACAGTGAAGAGGCTGTTCTCACCCATCCCTGTACCCTGAATTGGTAAGGGCAGCTCCACCCACATCTAGTGCTGACTGGCTGCCGCTCCATCCAGATGGCAGTCATAAGGAGACTAGCAATGGCTCTACCCTTGATGCTGTTCTCCAAACTAGCCTTCTGAAGAGCCCTTTCAAAAGGCTTCCTTAGATAAAGCAACTATGCCTCAATCTAACTTCAACAATGACATTACCCCAGTGCAAACGTCGCTAAAAAACCACACCATAAGGACATGGGGGGAACAATATAGCTGAACACAGTCGTTCAAAGACAGGTTTTGGCACAGAGCTGCCAGGTGAGGCATCCGGACTGCAGCAGCCTCAAGCAGACATGCAAACGGACAGGTAAAGAGCTTGTTTCCTTTAGCACTACTGGTTCCATAAGTTCTGCTGAGCCTGGTGCTCACTGTTTGTATACAGATGCAAAACACCCAAATATTAAAAGCTAGTTTTGGCTAAATGAAGCACTATAACTCCTTGGCAGACTGAATAACAGGTTGCTCCCAGAAGTTTACTAACAGACTTCTGTTCAGTTTGGGAGTTGTGTGGATTCTGTCCTGATCAACTCTGGAGGAGGCCAGCTTCAGGACTCATTCACGGATGAGATGATCTTTGCAGTGCAGGTGCTCTCAGGCAGCTTGCAGATAAGTTTACTCACGTGACTGATAACAGACACTAAAAATTACTCTAAATCAGGCCTGTTCCTGGCTTCTGGGGACATATGTTCACCCTAAACTTAACTATCTGGGACAGGGGCCTGTCATTTTTATTCACCAATAAATACCACACCCACCACTGCACTAATTCTTCCAGCCATTTGTACAAGGCACAAGAATACAGTTAGCTCTCCTTCCTAACTTTATGATGAGAATGAACAATGCAGGCCCTTGTCAGGGAGAAATGACTTGGGCTATGAGTGGTGGGGACAGAGATAGGGAGGGTTTGGGGCCTGCTTCCTCTCCCACAAACAAACACCGCATCCCTGCTGATGGGGCGTGCAAAAGAAGGGAGAACTGCATAGGATTTCTAAAGTATCCTGTCCTTTCATAGATGTATTTCAGGAGGAACAAGCCTCTAGGAAGGGCAGGCAGGAGGACGGTAGCTTGGGGATCAAGTCTGAAGCCCCTGCTCCTTCCTGATGTTGCATGGTTCTTTCAGCTTCCCCAGGTCAGGTGCAACTTATTAACAGCCTGGATTCAGGGCAGTGCGCCACTGCAGAGGTTGGGTCCAACCTCCCTGTTGCTGCAGTCCTTAAGAGATCTTGTGCCATGTGACTAAGGAAACTGGGGAGTGTATCCATGAATGCCAGGACAGCCTGTGAATGCCCTTGGCTGGCCTGGCCGAGCCTGAGATCTCTCGATAATGCCAAGCCTATCAGGTACACAGGGAAACATGTCCTTCCTGTCTGGCCAGAAAAAGGTGCCTCTGTTGGTTCTCTTCTCTACATCAGAAGCTGGGAGTAAACTTAGCAGTAAGTCCTCTGTGGCAACCCAGCCAGATCGAATTTGCCATGGATCTACAAAGCTGGTTAACAGAATAGAAATGATGTTCTTCTCATCAGGACCAGCGAAGGTGAAGATGGGATGGATGTAGTTTTATGGCATACGTGACTAGGACGAGTAACATGATTGCTGGAAAATCTTCTGCAAACAACAGGACAGAACAGGAACCGCTCAGGCTGGGCTGCTGAGGGGGTTGTTTGGTGTGTTCTGTGCATGCCTGTGTGGGCTAAGAGGAGAGAAGAG